TAAAAAATAAATAAATAAATAAATAACCATAGATAAAAAAAAAAAAAAATAACTACAGATACCCAAAAAAGATAACGACTGGAAGGCAAAAGCGCCATAAAAAGAAAACCATTCCATACAGTAAATTTACGTAACGTATTTTAACGCCATTTCGGGAAAAAAGTCTTAAGTGCGAGAAACAGCCACAGATGGATTTCAATTAAGATAACATGCTTTTCACTAATGTAATTTTGTAATGTCTTCCATTGGCGTGAATTTTAATGGGAAATTTTAATGATTTTTTAATAATAATGATAATGATGATGATAATAAATAATGATTGCAATAATAATGATAATAACAATAACGGTAATAATAGTAATGATAATAATAATAAAGTAATAATGATAATTATAATAATAATAATATTGATAATGACGGTGATGATAATAATGATAATTATAATAATTACATTGATAATGATAATAGTAACAATAATAACAATAACAATAATAACAATAATAATAATGATATTAATGATAATGATAACACTACTACTAATAATAACATTAAAAATGATGATAGTAATAACAATTATACGATAATGATAATAATAAGGAGATGTACACACACATTTATAAGACTGTACTTATAAGACTATAAATATATGGTAGTTGAAGTACATATTTTCATACTCACTTAACGCACCTGAAAAAAAAATATGATAAAAATGTAAGCATATAAGTGTACACTACTCATAAACACAAGTTTATTGGTAATAATAATGTAAGATTACACACACACACACACACACACACACACACACACACACACACACACACACACACACACACACACACACACACACACACACACACACACACACACACACACACACACACACACACACACACACACACACACACACACACACACACACACACACACACACACACACACACACACACACACAAGATAAAGCTTTCGTATCGTCAAGGCTGTAATAATATATATAGCTTCACCACACCCAGGTAGCTAGCCAGTAGTGGAAGGTGCAGGACAATCATTCACACTTTGCAACCGGAACATTCACTATGCAACAAGGTTTTTAAAAAATAGGATGGAAGGTAATTTTCGCGTCTGGGTCTCAGCCAGGTTAGATTTCAGCCCATTTCGGAAAATTTCTTTGACAAATTTTGGGCCAATTTGCTCATCGAGGGTTTATAGCTGATTGTTAACGTCTCCATGAAAATTGAAACAGAGAGGAATTCGGTTGATCTAACTCGTAGGCAGGAAGATTAGCGAAAGAGAGGACCACACCGCGAATTTTTCACTCCCGCTAATCCTAGGTCTTAACACGACAATCACCAGCCAAGCTCCTGAAGAGACCGTAATGACTTTCTCTCGTTTTCTTTAGCCTTCACACAATTCATTATTTTTCGTCTTTGGGAGAGAGAGAAAAAAATAATAAATTGAAGGCAAAAAAAAAATCCCCAGTAACGATATTATTAATCGTTAATCGCATTAGCTATTTATGTGATATTAACCACATATGTATATATATCTTTGGTTAAAAAAAGATAAAATTAATGAAAATAATATACTATTATTCATTAATCGTATCAGATATTTTCCAACAAAAAATATCTCTCTCACTCGACTAAATCTACTTAATGTTAATGATGAAACTTTGAAGAAGGAGAAGAAAGAAGAAGAAGAAGAAGAAGTCGAAGAAGAAGAAGAAGAAGAAGAAGAAGAAGAAGAAGAAGAAGAAGAAGAAGAAGAAGAAGAAGAAGAAGAAGAAGAAGAAGAAGAAAAAGAAATATACATATGAAAGAGAGGTTCTATACCTGTCCTATTTTTTTCTCTCTACTATCGTTATGACATGGTGTCATATCACTATACAAAAAAAATGAATAAAAAACTCATGACCAGGAGATTAATGGAAGAAATATTGCATTCCAAGGACCCTAGCGTTCCAGTGATGTTAGCTGGGATCCTGGTTATAAGGAGAAGGCATTAGGAGAATATATTATCATAGTCAGTTGCTGAACGGCGTTGCGTTAGGGATGGCAACGGTTGTCTGTTTCTCTCTACCTGTCTGTCTAATTTTATTTTTCCTTTTTCACTGTTTTAAGTTTTTTTCTCTCGTTTCTTTCGTGTATTTTGGGTGTGTTTGTATCTTTCTTTCTCTTGCTCTCTGTCTGTCTCTCTGTCTCTTTCTCTCTTTCTCTCTCTCTCTCTCTCTCTCTCTCTCTCTGTCTCGCTCTCTCTCTCTCTCTCTCTCTCTCTCTCTCTCTCTCTCTATATATATACATACATATATATATATATATATATATATATATATATATATATATATATATATATATAGATGTGTGTGTGTGTGTGTGTGTGTGTGTGTGTGTGTGTGTGTGTGTGTGTGTGTGTGTGTGTGTGTGTGTGTGTGTGTGTGTGTGTGTAATTACATATATATGTATATGCACACACACACACACACACACATATGTGTATATATATGTGTGTATATATGTATATATATATATATATATATATATATATATATATATATATATATATATATACACACACTTTTAGTTATCTCTGCCTGTCTCTATTTCTCACTCTTCTCTTGTCGTTCGTCTATTCTTCTGCAGGTTTATTATATCTTCTTTCTTTGGTCTTGTCTTTTATGTTAAGTAAAGAGATTGATAGATAGAGAGATAGATAGAGGGACGAATCGATAGATAGACAGATAGATAGATAGATAGGTAGATAGATAGATAGATAGATAGATAGACAGAGAGAGAGAGAGAGAGAGAGAGAGAGAGAGAGAGAGAGAGAGAGAGAGAGAGAGAGAGAGAGAGAGAGAGCAAGAGAGAGAGAGAGAGAAAGACACACACACACACACACACATACACACACACACACACACACACACACGTACACACACACACACACACACACACACACACACACACACACACACACACACACACACACACACACACACACACACACATACACGAAACAGAGACAGAGAGAAAGACAAAAAAAAAAAGAAAAAAAAAAAGATTTAAGCGCAATGGAAAGAATAAACACCTAAACCAAAACAAACAAGTAAATAAAACAAAGGAGATAAAAGCAAAAAGGCGATAGTAGAAGGGAAGCCAAAAAAAATACCTTATCTCTCTGTGCCACACTCACCATCCGCTTGAACTTCGCTATCATGCTAATATCTGTCATAAATTTCACCCTATCGGTAGGGTCTGATTCACCCTTAATGAGGTGCAGGTGGAGGGAAGGAAGGGAGGGGAGGAGAGGAGGGAAGGGAGGGAGGGGGAGGAGAGGAGGGAAGGGAGGGAGGATGGGAGGGAGGGAGAGAAGGAGGGATGGGGAGGAGAGGAGGGAAGGGAGGGAGGGAGGATGGGAGGGAGGCAGAGAAGGAGGGATGGGGAAGGAGGGAGGGAAGGAGGGAATGGAAAGAGAGAAGGAGGGATGGGAAAGGAGGAAGGGAGGAGAGAACGAGTGATGGGGAGAGAAGAAGGGAGGAGGAATGGGGAGGGAGGAAGGAACAGGTAGGGAATAGGAAGAGGCGAAGGAGGGAAGGATGAGAGGGAGAAGGAGGGCAAGGGAGAGGGAGGGAAGCCTCGGATATGTTGAGGGAAGGAAATGAGAAAAGGAAGAACGGACGAAAAAAAAGGAAGGGATAAGAGAGGAGAAAATGACAAGAGCGATGCAGGGAGGAAAGGAGAAAGAGAGGAAGGAAGGGAAGGAGGAGCAACAGCTGGGCAATGAGAGCGAGCGAAAGAAGGAAAGGTAAAAGGAAAGGGAAAAGGGAGAAGGAGAGAAGGGGAAGAGAGGAGAAAAAGAGGAAGGGAGGGATAAGAGGAGTGGCAATGAGCGAAGGAAAGAAGGAGGGAAAGAGGAAGGGGAGGATAAGAGGGTGGGAATAGCAGTGAGCGAAGAAAAGAAGATTAAGAGGAGGAGGAGAAGGGGAAGAGGGAGAGGAGAAGAGAGAACGAAGGAGGAATAAGGAGAAGTTAATAGAACTGGGCGTAGAACGGAATGGTGTGAGGGAGAGGGAGAAAATAAAGAGAAAGGGATAAAAGGGAGTAACAGGTGCGGATTAGGGTGGGGCGAAAGTGGAATAAGCAAATTAAGAAAAGGGCAGAGGGATAAGAGGGAGAAGGGTGAAGGTGGAAAGAGTAGATGAAATAGGCAAAGAGAAAAGGAGGAGAGGGCTAAAAAAAATGGAAAGAAGTAAGGAAGAGAAGAGAAAAATAGATAAAGGGGGAATAAACCGAAAGAACGGAAGAGGGAAGAGGTAAAATAACGAAAAAAAGAACCAAGGAACGAGAATGAGAAGGATAAGAAGTGAAAGAGAAAAGAGAAAAGAGGAAGAAGGAAGAAGGAAGAGAAAGAGAGAGAGAGGGACGGGGGGGAGGAGGTCACTCTTAACTTTCCTCACCTATCCTCATCTATCTGAGGAGAGAGGACATAATTTTCTCTCACTTCTCCGAGGTCAACAGCTGCTGGGAAAGGGGGGGGGGGAGGGGGGGGAGAGGGGGGGAAGGGGGGAGATCATCAAGCTTGTATTATCATCTCGTTACTTCCCTCTCCCCCCCCCCTCCCCTCTCTCTCTCCCTCCCTCACCCTCCCCTCCCTCTCCTATCTCGTATCTCTCCTCCCTCTCCCCCTCCCCTCCCTCTCTCCCTCCCCTCCCTCTTCCTCTCCCCCTCCCCTCCCTCCTCCCCCTCCCCTCCCCTCTCCCCCTCCCCTCCCTCTTCCTCTCCCCCTCCCCCCTCCCCTCCTTCTCCCCCTCCCCTCCCTCTTCTATCTCGTATTCCATGTCTCCCTCCTACCCCCCCCCCCCCTCTCCTTCCTCTCCCTTTATCCTCCACCTTTCCCCCCCATCTCCCAATTTTCTTATCTCCCTCCCCCCCCTTTTCCCTCAGTCTCCATCTCCCCCTCCCCTACCCCCCTCCCCTGCCCCCATCCCCAGATTTCCAAAGACAGAT